CTGTAGCTGGGCCAATCTGAGAGTATTCTATTTTTTAAATATTAAAAAATATAATTTTATGGGCACGCGTGTGTGCATATGTGGGTTGTGTGTGGGGAAGGGTGCATTTGAGTGCATTGCCCATGGAGGCCAGAAGAGGACACCAGATTCCCAGGAGTTTGAGTTACAGATGGTTGTGAGTCACCCAGCACAGGTGCTGGGAATTGGGTCGGAAGAATGGAACTCTGCTCCTTTGAAAGAGCAGGATGTGTTCTTAAGTACTGAGCACCTTCCCACCCTTGTCTGGGGGTATTTTCAAAAGAGTCATTGTTGAGCCAGAATAGAGAGTCAGAGGGACAGGGCTTGGGCAGAGGTGGGAGTGGGCACTGAGGTTTAGTTGGCCATAGGTTGAAGACGCTGTAGACGAGGGGTTCTCAATCTGTGGCTCTCGACCCCCACAGGGATCTTATATCAAATATTTACATTATGGTTCATAACAGTAGCAAAATTACAGTCATGAAGTAGCAATGAAATGTTGGGGGGGTTCCCACAACATGAGGAACTGTATTAAACGGTTGCAGGAGCAGGGAGGTTGAGAACCATGGCTGCACACTATGAAAAGCCACACCCGGCCTTGCAGTGGGCACTCCTGCTCCGGGCTGCAGTGCTTTACCACAGACCATCGAGAAATGGGGTAATGAGCTTAGGCTTGGGAATGAGAACACGTGACTTACCCCTGCTCTGTGTGTTCCTCAGCCCCAATGCTCTCTCTTGTCTGTGAAAGGACAGGGCTGGGGGTAGCACCTGAGAGCTGTTCACAGAGTGCTCATTGTTTGGACTTGGGAGACTACTGCTGAAGTGGGTACCTTCCACAGTTCAAGGTACTGGGCACCTGAACCTCATTTTCGCCATCTGTAAGGGAGTTGGTAACACCCTGTGTGGTTGTTCATAGAATTAAATGAATCAATACCTTTTAACACACCACACTCCCCTGTGTGTAGGAAGCTGGGACAGCATGCTTATTTAAGGTGTGTTAGGATTTCTTTGAGATCTATCGGGGCCCTCTGAACTGTAGACCACGGGTCTGTGTTCGTGACTTTCTCCGTCTTTCTTTGGATGTTCCACTGCAGTTTCTGCTTGGCCTAGGAAATCTTTGGTGGCAAAGAGGGCAGTCCCTTCAAGACTCCCCGTGCTTGTCTTTACAGAGAATTGCCTGATAGAAGGTTCCCTGACAGGGAGCAGAAGGGGCTGAGAAGAGGCCTTCTGACTTAAGGGAGGGAAAGAGAGAGGGGGAGGAGGAGAGTAGCCAGGATTCTACTCTGCTGTGCAGTAGCATGGCAGGTAGAGGGACTCGGGAGAAGGGCTTGCTCCTACTCTACCTGATATGTCTCTCTTAGAAGGGAAGTGTTCCATTATCATTTCTTCATGGTCCCAGGATAGCCTCCCTGTCCTCCTCAGAGCTGGAAAGTATAAAAGAGGCTGAACTGTAGGCATCTTGGGACGACTCCTCTCCTCCCATGTCAGGTGCCTGAGGATGGGGCTCCCCCTTTTCCACCTCCTCCTCAGGCCTCTTGGTAGACAAGAGTCCCGCATTCCTTGAGAGGCAAGAACCCCTGCTTGCTGCTAGCTTTATAGCAGGATGGGACAGCTAGGCCTTGTCAGAGAAAGCTGTGGGATTTGGCTGCCTGGAGATGGAGGTTTGTATCTGGAACGTTTCGTCTCCACACAAGAGCCCGTCTCCACACAAGAGCCTGGACCTGGTCATAGTACAGCCAAGCAGAGCAGGAGCAAGCCCAAGCCTCCAGGAAGTCTCTCTGTCAGCTTCAGCTTCAGCACTGAAGGCTCTCGTCCCATGAGTGGCCCCAGATATGAGGGTCAATTCTTAATATGCACCAAGACCGGAGCTGTGTCAGGACAATGGGGGCATCCTTGTCAGGAGAGACTTGCTGTTTGTGTCTGGGGACACTTGTGAGCTTGCTGATACCATACTGGTTAGGGGCGGAAAGAAACAAACGCTTGCTTATCTCTCATCACATACATAATCACTTCCCACTTCTAATGGAGTTGGAGTGAGCACCCATGGCCTCTGAGAGCAACATGAGGAGCCAGGAAATGGAGACCCCAGAAATCAGAAGCAAGCAATCCATGCCCCAGCCAGAGAAGGGGTACAGAACAGGCAGCGGAGGCCCTGGAGCCCTATATGGGATCAGATAGGAAGACACCAGCCTGGGAAGCTCAGGGGACATTTGATGGAGCTGGAGTAGAGAGAGCTTGCCCAAGGCCTCCAAGGGCTGACTGAATGCTCTTGCCAGGCCCAGCTGTGTGGTAGTAGAGTTGACCTCCTCAGGAAGTGGCAAGTCTGTTGTCACCAGGACACACACTTGATGAGCTCTGAGCACCAGATAGAGATTGGTGCCTTACCTTTGGGCTCTGAGCCTTAGGGCCCCACCTAAAGTTTATCAGAGGCCAAAAGAGAAGGGTTTCTCCATTACTCTTTGCTGAAAGTTTTCCTGGGACAGAAGGCGTGCGTGCTGTCTGACCCCACTGTCTTCTCTGGGATGTCTCTGCTTTTCCCATGCCACCTGGAAGCCTTTCAGGGTGAGCTGGGGTTTCCGAGAGACACAGACAGAAGGAAGAAGCATCATCCAACTTTGCACATGTCTTCTCGGAAGCCCTTTACTCTGCTGAGAATCATTTTGACCCACATACAGTCACAGCCCTAGAAGGCCAACCCTGCCTCTTACCATGCACTCCAGCTAGTGTGTTATAAGAACTTTGACATCACTTTCCTCCCTTTGACAAGGTCGAAGCCCCTCTGAAGCCACTGGTACTGCTCAGTCATAGCGCCTGTCCCAGTCCATTTGGCTATTGGTCCATTTTGTCCATAGGTGATGTTTGTGCCACCTCTGTTTTGAGTTGAGCCAGGAGTTGCTGACATAAGGGGGACCCAGTCTCCTCTCCTTTTGAAGCTGACACTCCAGCTGGAGGATGGGGACCCTCAGTAGTCAAGGGACCCTCAGTGAGTGATGTGGGCTTGGTAGAGATCTGCACAGTGAAGTGTTTTAGGAACACAGAGGAGGGAAATCAAGGGAGACTTCCAGGAAGGGGGAGGCCTTTCAGATAATCTTGACAGTTCCTGCATCTAGTAGTACTTTGTAGACGATGGGTACTGTTACTAGTGTCGTTCCTAGTCTACATTTTTTTCAAAGGTTGATTCATTTTAATTTGTTTAGTAGAGAGAATGCTAAAGCCTGTTGGTTTGTTTTTTCTTTAATTTTGAAAACAAATTTACCCATTTTGAGACCATTGTAGACACATGTAGAGTAATGCAGAGGGATTGCACGCAGCTTTTGTGCAGTTTCCACAGTGACCTCCTGCGCAGTCGGGAATGGTGGCCGGAAGTCGCAACACTTCCGGAAGCAACAGCTCTGCCTTGTGTGCGCCGACACCTTTTCTCAGTCTCGCTGAAGTACTTTCAACGTAACGTTTTTACTGTTGTCCTGTCCAGTGGGTGTTTTTAAAGATTGTTGTTTCTCTTGCTTGTCTGTTTTTAAAGATGCTTGACCATGGGGAGGGGAGAGAAAATTGATCACACATCCCCATATTCCAGCTAAGGAAAGCAGCTGAGGCCACAAGTGTGGCCATGACACTTTGACTGACACAAACCTAGGTGAGGCCTAGTGCTGTCCCGAGCCTGGGGCAAAGTCAGTGTCTGAGCAATGTCTTCTCCTGCCACAACTCTGTCTCTGAGCTGCTATGAAAACCTGGGCCCCTTCCTTCTCTGCTGCATATGCTCACACCCCAGAGTCCCAAGGACATAACAGACCTGCAGGGATGTGGCAGGGAATGCACCAGGCAGAAGAAAGGCCTAAGGCTTTCTTTCTCTGGAAAGGTGTGGAGTTCACAGTCCCTGAAGGCATCACTGGGGTTGGGGTGTGGCAGCCTGGAGGAGCAGGGCAGGCACAAGGGTGAGGGGGAGAGAAAAAGTCCTAGCTACCCTTAGGTGTCCATTGTGCCACAGATGCTTGGGGATACTGCTGAACCCTCGATCCTGTACCACTGGCTTTTCCCTTGCTGGGACCAGATACCCAAAAGAAGCCAGCTAAGGGGGCATGAGCTCATTTTGTCTGAGTTCAGAGGGATGCAGTATGTCCTGGCAGCTAAGGCATGGTGGCAGAAGACCTAGGATGCTGGCTGAGAAGAATGGACAGGGAGGCTGGTAGGAGAAGCAGGGGATGCTGGCTACACAGCATCTCTAGTCAGGATGCAGAGACATGAATGTGCTGCTCAATTCCTTCTGGACATGGTCTCTCTTCACTACTAAATTTGAAACAAATCTTTTAAAGATTTCTCTTAAAGACTTAGACAGAGTGTAATCAGCCCGTTCATCACAGCTGAAGTTAGCAAATTCCTTGATGCTTTTGAACACACTTTACCATTTATAATATGTCATGATTTTTTTCACAGTTACATATTTTACAGTTTGCCTCAATCAGCACACATATTGAACTGATTGGCACATCTCTGAGTCCCCTTTAGCCTGGTGGCCCCCTTGTCTCCCTTTTCTTGCCTTGAACTTCATTTCATGAAGATAGAAATGACACTTTGTCTTGTGGGCCAATGATAACAGTGAAGAGTTCTCAATATTAGAAAGGAATTAGAGATCATACAGTGAAAGCCCACAGATGTAAATTTCTAGAAGCCACAGGGTTGTTACTGGGGAAGACCCCTTACTTCCCCAGTCTCAGTCTGTAGGCCAGGCCCTGAGGTCTCTCCTCTCCTACTCTGGCCTCTGGGTAAGGGTGGAGGTGAGCAGGTGTCTGGTCCTTTAGGATGGGAGTTGGTGTCTTGTCTCTGACAGGGCTCCCAAGGGCCATCTGAAGCCCAGAGGACCCCAGCAGGTAGCAGGGAAGTCCTCCGCCACAGCTGGCTGAGTCGCACAGTCTCGTCCTCATGCTGCACCCCACTTCTCTGCCCCCCTTCTCACGTGTCTGTTTCTTCTCTCCTCCATGCTATGGCAGTGGTGCCCGGTGCTGATGAGACAATACTTGGTGCAGCCCCAGGCAGTCCTTTTCCAGGTAATTTCATAGGGACCCAAATAACATCCGTGCACACTCTCTTGGGGTGTGTGCCTCAGAGTCTGATGCTAGGAATCCCCAACCTCTCAGGACTTGGTCTCCAAGTTGCTTCCCCTCTCCCATCCATTGGATCTTCATGAGCTTCCTATAGGCAGGTAGAAAGGGCTTAGAATGAAAATACATTTTACCCTGTCTCCCTCATGGGCCTTTCCTCTGGAACTGGCTTATGGGAGACTGAGCTGGAACAAGAGTACCATGTGCTCACTTCTAGCTCTGTTTCTGTCTGCCATTGGGCCAAGACTTCAAATGACAGATAAAAATGAAGAGACTCACCTCTGTTCCTCAGAGCTTCTACATCAGACAAGGTGGCTCTTTGCATCCTTGTAACTCTGGCATTTGAGAGAGCCAGGCTGGCCATGAACTGGAGCCCACTGTCAAGGAGGGTGCTGGGTCCAGGCTGGTGGTCATGACCTTTGAGGTCTTGGGGGAGTCTATGCCTGCCAGCAGACGGAGTTTTGTCCCAGCTGTTTGTGTGGGACTGGGCAGTCTGTGAACCGCTGACCTCGGTTACTGTTTCTTTCTGGGTCACAGACGTGAACAGCAGCAGGGGCTCTCAAGGGAGGGAGCAGGAGCTTGACATGACAGTTTCAGACAGACTTTGAAGGGTTCAGGGAAGGAGAAAAATGGAAAGACACAGCTGGGGTCTGTGACTGTTGGTGACTAGGGCTGGCCGGGATGGGGTGATGTGCCCAGGGCCATAGATACATCAACACACACTGTGACTGTGTGTGCCCTCCACACCCCACTGAAAGCACGAGGCTTCCCAAGTAACAGTGAGAGGTGGGAGAAGACAGGCATTGCTCCAGGAAGGAAGCAGCAGGAGACCCCTCTCCTCTCTTGCTCATCTTCTCCACTCTGTCTCTTTTTACACGAGTCTGTCTCTCTCAGGCCCTGTTCTCCACAAAGGACTTGTCTGAGGTGAAGAGTTAACGATCAGACATATCTAAGTCAGTCTGAGAGTCCACATGCAGTGTGGAGAAAAGGGAAGACCGTGTCGTGGTTGTGCTAATTGAGCACTGAATTTGACTGAGCTTCCTGCCAGCCAAAGCAAAGGGGATATATGATAGTTTCCAATGTTCTCGTTGTTCCATCAGAGGCAAATTAACAACTCATTGTGAGAAATAACCTTTCTTCCCCAGTGAATTATGAGAGAAATGGGCAAGGAATTTGAATATTTTAAAGGACATTGTCTCCAGAGGTTTAAAGAAAATACCTTTTATATGACTGTTTTCTTTTATTGCCTTTAATAAATGTACTTCCCCAAGGGTTTTGGCTAACACTGGACATGGCCTTAGCTTTCTTGTCAACTAGCTTGATTGTAGGTGGGAGAAGGCAGCACACGTTTCCATATCACTTGGAACCATTGGTTTAAAACTTCTTAGTTAATTATTTTGTTTAGTTAATTACTTTGGGGGTTAGGAACTCACTGGGTAGCCCAGGCTGGCCTGGAACTCTGGATGCCCCTGCCCTAGCCCCTTGGGTGCAAGGATTAGAGACATATCGCTGTCATTCCTGACCTCTGGCAAATTTTTGAGATTTATAGCTTATATCATGCTGCTGGACCATTCATTCATTCAGTAAGCACTTTCGGGGACTGTAAGGAGATCCTATGTTCTGAAAGGAGAGAGACAAACAGCAGCTATAGATGGAGATGCCATGACAGAGTGGGATACAGGAAGCCACATAGTGAGGGGGTGAGTCATAAGAGGGGTGATGATTTCTTTGGTGGGGTATGGAGTCAAGAGTGCATTCACCAAGAAGCCATGTTTGAGCTGGGTCTTATGGACAGCGTAGGAGCTTTTTACTTACTGAGATGGGCCCTCCAGGCAGAGACAGGACGAAGCCTGGAATGTTGGTGGTACAGAGAGTGCAGCCATGTTTGTGGAAACCCAGGACATCAGCGAGAACACAGTAGCCCTTAAAACATCACAGGCCGCTCAGAGGACACACCTGGGGAACAATTGAACATCTGCATAACAGGCAGTGCCCTGCTCCTGTTGGACAAAACTTGCAATCCTACCAACAGAGGCTTGGCTCCTGCCCGATGGTGATGAAGCTGTGGAACCATTGCACACAAGACTGGGGTGAGGTTCTTTCTCTTTGCCTTCTGGAAGCCAGTGGTGTCTCAGAAACTGGCATGGCAGGCCTTTCCCCCATACCTAGTCTTGCAAACCCAACAGTTGGAGTGATCCCATGCACTTTGTCTGACACAGAACAAAAAAATCTTGGTTTCTACCTGGAAATTTAAATACAGGAGAGGCAGGAAATCTCTATCAGCCACACTTCCTGAGATTGGCTCTGTCTCCTAGGGGGAAACCTAACAGCTGCCAGCTATGTCTGCAAATAGAGTCCAGGAGGCTAGAGCCAGGGATGGGCATGAGGGCTATTCTGACTCTTGGCTGACTCTTAGAGAAACTTGTGCTCCTTGATTATCTTTGTATCTATGAAAGAGGTCCACCATGGTCCAGGTCCAACTGGTCTACCTTCATGTCTGCTACCTCAGCTAGTGCCCCTTCCTGGTCTGGCTCTTTTGTTCCCTTCTCCTGTCAGCGCTCCTCAGCCATCCCAACTTGAGAGATAGAGCCTGCTCAGCTCACACGAAGAAACTCTTCCTGACCCCACCACAGCCTGTGAGAACAAATGGCTCCGTGCTTGTCTCCATATTGGATGGACTTTCTGGGCTATACATATTTCTTTGGGAGGGTCTCTTTGGCCTCAGACACCTGCATGCATACAACAGGACCTAGCACAGGGAAATGTCTGCTTACTGTGCTTAGGCCCCTACTAGGGAGACACAGAAAAAGGAACTAGCACTCACGTCTGAGCATCCAGAAACCCTAGAAGGAACCACTTTGAAAGAGATCCTCCTGGGGGCATGGCTGCCTTTGGAGAGCTTTGGTCTCAGAAGCGTTCTTATTGAAGAACAGGCTAGGACATGATCAGCTTGATTCTTCAGGGAGGAAATCTAGACAGTGACCTTTCCCAACAGCCCCCTGCTGCACAGAATGCAGACTTGCTCTTCAAATGCTGCGGTTTCTAACTCACAGCAAATATATTTTCCTCTCTACCTGCTGGATTTACAAATAGGGCTTAGCTTTTCAAGGTGTGAAACCCTCGGCCTCTGTTCTATTCCTTCTAATTCCATTACCAATGAACTAAGGATGTAGCTCACCCGGTAGAGTGCCTTCCCGGCATGCATGAAGCTTTGAGTTCAATCCTCAGCACGGCAGGAAATTGAATGTTATGATCTGTGCTCATTATCTAGCCCTGGGGAGGTGTAGGAGGATCAGAAGTTCAAGGTCATTTTCAGATACATAGTTTAAGGCTAGCCTAGGCTATGTGGAACCCTGCCTCAAAACAAACAGCCCTAAGATAGCAACAGGAACTAACTAAAAGAAAACAAACCAAAAAACCCCTCAACTTTCAATAGTTGGATCCAATTGTTTGGTCTCATCGTTGCTGTGGGTAGGGCCTCATAGTGGGAGAATCATCAGGGTAACTGTCAAGATGCTGAGGTGAGATGGACCTGTGCTTGGAAGCACATCTCATTCCTTCTGGAATGGAAGTCTCAAGCCTTTGCCTTGAGAAACAGAATACCATAGTCGCCTTTGTGAGCAGAGCTTGAGGCTGAGATAGGAAGTCACAGGTGAAGGCCTGACACTTAGTGTTCTCTGAAAATCAGAAAGTACTTCCGGGGCAGGCTTGAGGGCCCAGTGGAGCTGACAGGGACTTCAGGCCCAGGTATCCTGAGGTGTTGCTCACTGAGGATAGCTTGGACAGAACCCCATGGGCTTATCAATCATCTTCCAGAAGATGTTGATTCCAAAGCATGTAGGCAAGAATCTTGGGCCCATAGCAGGCCCGAGAACTCCAAGGGCGAAGCCAGGCTGGGGCCGGGTCTACCTGCACCAGGGAGCACTGGAGAGCTGCAGTAATTAGCATGGTGTGCTATTGGCACAGGGATAGATAAATAGACCAATGAAACAGAATCCGGGCTGGAAAGCCATCTGTGCACATATGGAACCTTGATATATAGGTAAGGAGATGTACAAATCAGCAGGGAGAGGTGGGCTCTTAATAACCAGCAAGGGGCAACTGGTTATCCATTCAGAAATGAGGAGAAGGAAGAAATTAGATCTTTACACCAGACACAAAAATCAATCTCTGGAGGATTAGAGGCCTAAATGCAAAAGACAAAGACACCTAATATGGTCAGCTCCAGGTCCCATCCAAACTCCCCAGGCCCATGCACGGCCTCATGAGAGAGCGAATGAGGCCTTGGGGATGGGCACAGTGATGCTTATACAAGGTGCCCTGTCACAGTGAAGACAGGAGCAGGCCTAAACCATCTTCCTGTCCCACCTCAGTGCTTCCTGCTCCGGAAGGTCTTTCTTGGTGACCATTTTTCAGGAGACATATGTCCCACTCTACCTGCTGGCCTTTCCAAGTGGTGCCTCAGAAATAGCAACCATCATTTTCCCAAGTACCTGAGGAGCTCCCAAATCCCAGGCTCTCTGCCTACTCTTCCTGCTTGCCAAGTGTATCATCTTGGACAGACAGGGATGTGACCTCCTTTGGCAAGGCAGACTCCTAAGAAGCTCCCACCAAAACTTGGTGCACACAGCCAAATTCTTTGGATGAGTGTTGGCAGTAGGGTTTGGGAGGGAGGGAGGGAGGCAGAGATGCTCTTCGTCTTTATAATGTAGTCTTTCCTTGGAAGGGAAGGACCAGGCTGGTGTCTTTTCTGCCTTCCCTGGAGGCCGTTCTGCGATGGCTTCAGTGTCAAGGAAATGACTCATTGCACAGAGACTTAAATTTCATGAGTGGCTTACAGAAAGGGACATGACTCAGTGCCCAGTGCATGCACTGTCATGGGTTTGATAAATCTGACATCTATACAGGGAATATTCAGCGCACAGGTGCTCATATGCTTCCAGAATCCAAAAGTCACTCATCAAACTGTGACTCGGTCTGCTCTATGTACTGAAATTGGGACTGGGAACTTGTCATCATCACCCAGCCCCTGGATTGGGATTCTGCCTGATCTACTGTGGACACAACCATCCTCCCCTTTAACCCTATCTGTGAAATAAATATGGATTGGGTGGTCCCTCAAATTTCTTTTGAACACTTGTTTCCGGGGTTTAAGAATCCCCAAGCCAGGAAGCATGTTGTCTCTGCCTTGGCAAGTAGACTCTTATTTCTGCCTTGCTTGCTTGATGCCCTCCACAGCCTCTGGGGCTGAGCTGGGGAATCTGCACGTTAGACTTGGCCTCTTGTGATGCTGTGTGGGCTCCTGCCCCTTTCTCCACCTAGGAACAGTGGTCGGTTCTGGATACATGTGCTGCTCCATTGAGCTGCATCTGCCCTTCCAGCCCGGGTTTCCCAGAACCTCTGTGGACAGGTCACGGCCTTGCATCTGATCAGGGTGCCTCTGGGCTCCATGCTGAGTTGTCTGCTTTCTCTTTCAGACCACAGAGTATTCAGCCATGGCTTCACTGGCTGGAGGCCTGGAGGACATGAAAGCCAACTTGACAAGCCCCACCCCCGCTGACATCGGGAGCAGTGTTCCAGGCCCACAATCCTACCCCATTGTCACAGGTGAGCATACCTAGATGGGGACTTGGGGGTTGGAGAGAGAGGGGGAGAGAGAGAGAGAGAGAGAGAGAGAGAGAGAGAGAGAGAGAGAGAG